ATATATATTACAAGCACAGATAACGAAAGCATTCTAATTTTTTCTTTTTTTTTTTTATAAAATTAATCTTATTGAAACATATTTATCTTGTTTATTTACTGAGTTTGTTCACTGGGATTTTGATGAGCATGCCTCATTCCGTCTTGATAAAGGTGTCTTCTGCACCAGGACCTCTTCCTTTAATGGCAAGATGTGGTTTGGAGCTTGTAGTATTGACCTTCCAACCACAAGCCCTCACAATCAGACTGTGGTAAGCTGATGAATCTGCAGAGATGGAAAGCTGAATGAAAAGGGTGAYGACTAAAAGCACAACACCTCCAAATCCCTGGCTTTGGAAAGATGAAGGCACAGGCCACTGCCTGCTGTTCTTTGCAAATCCTGTTTAGGAATAGAGCCCTGTAGCTATGGCAGGGAAGGCTTCAAAGTTTCTACATATTCAGTGACTCAGGGGAGATGGTCTTTGCTCCTGGTGGTTTCCCTGAAGTCTGTGATGGTTTTAAGTACATAAACTAGAGATGTGAAGTCCCTCCTTAAACCAAGTGTCAAGTAAATMTATTTTTGCTCCAAAGGAAAAAAGAGTAATTCTACATGGTGCAGGTCTGGGAGTAACAGAAGAAGAAAGCAAGCACATAGTATATTCTAACAGCTGCCATCTGCAAGAGATGAACTTTAATTTTCCACTTTGATATTAAGTACCCAACTTAGAAACTTTGAAGTTTCCCTTCAAAATGCTGAAGACCATTTAGAAAATACCATACTCAGGACTTCTGGAAATATTTGTCCAATGTAATTCGTAAGTGACCACAAATCATACACATAAGTTAAGACTGAACTTTATTTCAACCYGAGTTAGTGTAGCAAAGTTAAATAAAAATTAACCAGGTCTTTTCACTAAAGAGCAAAACATACCAGTATGCTAGTCCAAGAAACTTGCTACCAGGATGCATTTTGGCAGCTTACAATGGTAGAAGTGTGTGTGAAACATCAGTCAGTGCAAACTGATACAAAACCCCATGGGAATTATTTAMAGCTATTACAGCAATATAGTCCAGCAGCACAACCATGATATAAAAATTGTTCTTCCCATCCACTACAGCTGGGAGACAACTTGTATCACTAAAGAAACAGGCTACTATCAAAATGGAGGCATCTTGTCATTCACATTTTTCTCCATCTCAACAGGGTCAAGATTTGTGTGGCCAACAGGATACAGCAGGGAGGGAGCCACAACKAGAGCAAATCAAAGAATATGGTTTTAGAAACAGCATAGAATGGTGTCACTTTGGGAAGAATACCATGCCTTCCAACACCAGCTGCCTTACCTCTCTYGGAAATTTCTTGCAGAAATAATTGACATCCAAGGGAGGGGGAAGGAACCTATCTGGCCAGAAAAAAACAGAAAGGTATGACAGAACTTCTTTATTAAGGTCACCAGAAAATAAATAAAAGCAAAAACTGCCTTGATGCCTTTCAGTTCCAGTCCTTTGCATTCCTGAGCAATCTGACTCCAGCTCTGTAAATGCATTGGCATCCTTGGCCAAGTCAAAGAGAAAGACCATGAGACCTGGCATTCAAAGTCCCACTCCTGGTGTGTATTTTAATTAACAGGAGCCTGAGCATCATCTGTGAAAGGGGATGGGGCTCGTGGCTTTCACACCAGGTAAAACTTTCTGTGAGTGCTTGTTCCAGTCTCCTTTCATGTACATTTCATTCAAGGGCATACATTCCACCTTTTTTCCTCTTCTTGCCTTTTTTTCTTTTTTTTTTTTTTTTTTTTTTTTTTTTTTTTTTTTTTTTTTTTGACAATTGGAGGTTTGACAACAGAAGCACAGAGCTATAAATGTGAGGGTACAATATATCATGAGATAAAGTGTGGAGAACGTGTCCTCTACCAAAATGCCCCTTGATGGAAAAAAAAAAAAAGCCCAAAATGCCTGGAATAAGAATTCCCTCTGCTTCTTACAGCTATAAAGGAGCAAAAAACAAAACAAAGCCCCAGCCCATGGGCTGTGCTATGCACGTTTCTAGGGTATCAGCTCTGGCAGAAAGTTGAAAGGTTGTGTTTGTGAAATAGCAGCTGCTTTCCTGCCATTTGATTCAGGCTTCTGCTTTGCAAAGTCTCGAAACCGAAAGACAAATCTGACAATATGCTAATCTTCCAATAAAAAAATGTGACTTCTGAACCCTTATCTGTTGAAGAGCTGACAGTGAAGTTCAGAGACGGTTGTCTAACCAGAAAAAACGATAGAGAAAATATGCCTTCAAACAAGATCATAAATCTTGAACAGTGCAGGGGAACAAATGTAAAAGGAACGTTTTACCACTAACACCATTTAGTAGCCTCACTTTCTCTCCCTTCCACCCCTCCAGCCTCATCATACTTGCAAGGAAGGAGGATGTATCCTGTCAAGGCAATAATATGAATACAAGGGGATGGGGGGTGACAATATATCGACTACTGAAGCCAGATATTATTTCTATCACTCCTGGGGTGTGGGGGGAGAGCAGAAACACAAAACAAATATTGTACAACCTGAATACAACAGACTCACTTCCCCCCCC